ACAGAAAGGCTGCTTCTCCGCCTCCCGGGACCTGGGCTGGTTCTGGGACGACCTCCTGGAAGGCAGGAGACGCACAGAAGAGAGTCGAGGTGTCCGACAGCCAAGGCCACTGCCGGGGGCGTCAGTGAGGCCGGCTCGGACGTCCCAGCTCAGAGGACCCTCTGCGGAACGTGGCCTCCCAGGGACCAAGGTGCCACCACCCACCCACAGCCCCGAGACGAACAACAGCCCTACGGCTTGAAGCCCCTGCGCTTGGGGACGGCGCGTCACCCTGTGCAGATCCCCGGCGGGGACAGCCTCGGCCGTGCGTGCCGACCTGCCCTTCTTCCCACCACGGGACCCGCTGCGGCTCTGCCGGCGCTCGGGCGGTGAAGAACACACTGCGTCAGCACCAGAGCCGCGCCTTGAGGCCGTGCTCCCATGCCTTTGTGTGCACACGACTCGCCGCTTCAATTTTGAATCCCAGCGGCCTCACTCTGAGGACGAGTCCCACAGCTGTCAGACTCGGCGTGCTGGCCGCAAGGCTGCAGATAGACGGCAAACAAGCCGCCATTGCCAAGTCCACGGCGCACACCTGCCGACCGTGCACACCTGCCGACCGTGCACACCTGCTGACCGTGCACACCTGCCGACTGTGCACACCTGCCGACCGTGCACACCTGCCGGCCGTGCCACGGCCGAGCCCAGGAACCCTCAGACACCGTCCTCGCGGGACGCTCCCCGACCAGACAGGCACCAGGACTCGGGCAAACGCTCACGGTGGGATCGGTGATGCAAGGATCCTCAAATGCCACCGCAGTCACCTGTCACCTCGCAGGGGACCCCGCAGCTGCTCAGGGCTGGCCCCTCCCTGTCTATCCCGCTCCGCCCCCAGGCCACACATCTGACTCCATCGGCATGGCGACTAGCAGGTGGACCTGGCCCTTTCTACTCCCTCGCTTACGTCCCTACGCATGCGAACACCTTCGCCCGGCGTGCAGCCCCGGCCCCTCCCCGCGCAGGTACTGCGGCTTCTTCCTCACTCCGTGCCGCAGCGCCGACAGGCGTGGCTGATGGGGGCTCCGGAAGCCACACGTTCCAACAGAAGCGGGGCTGACGCTCCGCTGGAGTCCTGGAGGCAGGGGGGTCGGTGCAGGTGCAAGCAGGGGGGACGTCTGGGCTTGGGCTCCAACGGCGAGTGGCGTCCGGCTCGCTGGGCCGGAGGGCAGGATGTCTCTGCCAGGCTCGTGGACCCCTCTGCCCGCACCGCTCACCTTTGTGTGCACGGCACTGGCGGAGAGCTTAGCGCGCTGCGAATGTCCCACCCTAAAGGTTCTTCGGGCCACGCGGTGAGCCCACGAATGCTGCAGGTCCCACGCGCTACGGGCACAAGCTCTAAGTTGCGTTGGTGACGTGTTCACTGCAGAGTCAAGAAAGATTCTCTGCTTCGTGCTCTAGGTGCATTTTTTTAAACTTGAAAATGTAAAAGAGGCTCCAGCACGCGACCTTAGAGAGAACTGCGGCTGTGACCCTCTGACGCCCCATTAGAGAGAACATACACGGCCCCCGAGGGTCCGGCGGCCCCACCTCTCACAGGGCAGCGTCCCCGCTAAAGGGCGATCCTGATTCTCCAGCATCCGTTCCTTAATATCCTGCCCCTTTCCCGAGGAGATGTTGCGGCCATTCACATGGAAAACAGGATTCTTTTTAAGTTTAAGAAGTTTTGGGAACTCTGGAATAAGCAAGCAAAGAAACAGGCCGGGCGCGGTGGCTCACGCCTGTATTCCTAGCACTCTGGGAGGCCGAGGTAGGAGGCTCGCTCAAGGTCAGGAGTTTGAAACCAGCCTGAGCAAGAGGGAGACCCCAGCTCTACTAAAAATAGGGAAGAAAATTTAATTGGGCAATTAATATATAGAGAAAAATTAGCCGGGCGTGGTGGTGCGTGCCTCTAGTCCCAGCTACTCGGGGAGCTGAGGCAGGGAGATCGCTTTGAGCCCAGGAGTGGAGGTTTGCTGTGTGCTAGGCTGACGCCAAGGCACTGTTAGCCCGGCAACAGGAGTGAGACTCTGGTTTCAAAAAGAAAGAAAGAGAGGAAGGAAGGAAGGAAGGAAGGAAGGAAGAAGGAAGGAAGGAAGAAGGAAGAAGGAAGGAAGGAAGAAAGGAAGGAAGGAAGAAGGAAGGAAGAAGGGAAGAAGGAAGAAGGAAAAGAAGGAAGAAGGAAGGAAGGAGAGGAAGGAAGGAAGGAAGAAGGAAGGAAACAATATTTATCATAATAAATTGCTGAGTCGTTGATCTACTCATTCCAGCCTCAAGGACGTCCCACGTGTGGAATTGTTTCCATTCTCAGAAACACCCACTCCTCACGAGGCAAAAAAAAAAAAAACTACACGAGTTCTAAGACTCTTCACAGATGTGGGCCTCCCAGCAAGAGACAATGAACAGGTAAAGCACCTTGACAAGCGTTTTTACAGTAAACACGGAGATTTTACAGAAATCTTTGTTAAAACAACGTCTTTTTGTTCTTTAGAGACAGGGTCTTGCTCCGTCGCCCAGGCTGGAGAGCAAAGTGTGACCACAGCTCACTGCAGCCTCCAACCCCTGGGCTCTCGGGGTCCTCCCACCTCAGCCTCCCAGAGCACTGAGACCACAGGTGCGAGCCACCGTGTCTGGGCCAATGCCTTTTATTTTCTTCAAAATATTTTCATTTTCTAGAGTACAATACAGTTGCCATACTGCTATGTATTCTTGTTATGCTTACGTTATGATAATTTTTCACGATAGATTTAAGTTTTCTAAAGTCACACATTTTCGCACTGCAGTTTGTGACCTATTTTATGATCACTAGGCTTTAAGATTCCTAAATGTTCCATGTCGTTATCAGAACCCATTAACTTTTCGGTGCTGGGTCTCAGAAGAAAGAAGTAAAAGGAACGCAGACCATATTAGAACAAACACGCCCCAAATTTTAGACCAAATAGAATAAACATTTAACAAAAGGAAAAGAAAATTATATTCCTGCCTGTAAGGAACCAAAGTCAAACAGCCACATAAATAAATGAAGACGTAACGAAAGAACGTGACGGCAATACCAGAAGCTCCCATCACCTCTCAGGTGCGGGATTTTCCAGGTGGTGCCGTTCACGCCAAGCACGGGCCTCATTCACGACCCCGTGCCCGCCCGGTGCCGCTGCACGGTTGAAAACACTGGTTAAGGGAGCAGGGAGAGACGCCGTGACGCAGGATCACGCAGTGCAGACCTCCTCACGTGAACACGTGCACTCACGCAGGCTACCTCTCCACCTGGGACACCTGCCCCTTCTCCGAGCCGCACCTTGTGACCTGAGCTTTGTTTGCCAACCTCCACGCACGTCCGTCACCCCTCTCCTCCACGGCGTGCTGCTACACATGTGATTCGTTCCTACAAACCTGTTGTCATGAAATGAGCACACGGGCTCACGCGTCTGTCTGTCCATTCCAGCTCAATGCAGTGAGTCTTGGGACAGAATCACGCCTATCACCTTTGTATGCTCACTGACCATCAATCACGTATCCATTCAACGAACACTTAATATTAAAAGCCATTCCTTAGAGAGAAAAGAATTCAAAATAAATAAGCTGATCATTCAACTCAAGAAGCTACAAACTATAACAAGAGTCAATTCAGGAAAAAAAAAACCACCCTCGGCACCAAAAGCTAGACGAGGACGACATGCAAAGGAAATATTACAGGCTAATCCCACTTCAGAACAGACGCGCAGAATCCCCTGATGACATTTAGCAAAGCACATTCAGGCGACGGCGCTGTTTTAGAAGTAGGGCTCATTCGGCGAAGGAGGGCAGGTAAGAACGGGGGGCTGGGTGTGAAGGGCTGGGTCACCGCGCCGTCCCCCCTGCAAGGCCGGGCTGCCCTGGCACAGGCGCAGCAGGCCAACACCAAGGCCAAGCACCAGAGGGATTAAAATGGCAGCTATGAAGCACGGGCAGCAACAGGGGCGCCAGCCACAGGCCGGGTGCTAGATACCGGGAAGGAACGGCAGGCACGGCAAGGTGCTGAGGGCCACGGCGTGGCAGGGGGGGGGGGGGGGTCACTCTACTGGAGCTGGCGAGCCGGGCAGACAGGAGCCAGCAGGAGCCGGCATTCGACAGCTGTGCTGAATAATCTCCACGTCCATAGAACTACTAGAATGTGTTCTTTATGCGATGGTCGTGGTATACAGTGCTCACATAGACACATCATGCGGGCCGGGAAGCCCCGTGGGACGTGGCTTCTGCCCGCCTTGCCAGCCCCGTTGCCTGCCACCATCCTTCCTCATGCTTTATGCTATGACTTCAAACTGTGTGTAGATCAATATACACACATGTACACATACATACATGCACATGCACACGGACATATATGCACACATACATACACGTACACGCATATACATGCATGCACACACAGACATGCATGCACACACGACATGCACACAGACATACACAGAGAGACATGTATGCACACGACATGCATGCACATACACACAGACATGCATGCACATGCACACAGACATAACACACACGCACAGAGACATGCATGCACACGCACATAGACATACGGGCACACAAGCACCAAGCTGCTTCTCACCCCACTGCCTGACTTCCAGCTGTCACGGCCTGCCCAGAATGTCCTCCTCCCGCCCCGCCCTGGTCCACCCCGCCCTGGCCCGCCCCACCCTGCTTGGCTCAGTTTCCCCCCACCTGTCCCTCGAGACCTGGCGTCTGTCTCTGTCTTGACGCCCGCCGTGTGGTTGCAATGCCTCCCTGCGCCTCCAGCCCTGCACGCTGCCCTCCCAACACGAACCCCTCTCTGCCGGCTCGTGCACAGCAGCGGCACGTCCGGTCTTCCCTAACGAGCTGGCACTAGCTCTGTGCCCAGGGAGCTGTGTCACAACCAGAGACCTCCCGTGTGCTGGGTCCCCGTTAGTGCCACGAGACGCCACAGTCAGGACAGCTGTCATCGCTCCTCTCAGAAAATGACTTACCGTTTTCTTCCTGGGTGGGGATTTTTCGATGTCCGCATACCTTCTGAAAGACAAAAGATAGTCACCTTGAAATGTTTAAAGCTCGGCCCTGACACGTCTTTATAAAATGCCGGCTGCAGCCTTGGCTTTCGGAGGGGAACCTTGGGCCGTGCACACAAGACACGGCCGGCAGCTCCGGTTTCCCAGCCTCCCGAGCAAAACAGGCCCCCCACCCCCCACCGGGCACCTGCCCATTTCATCCCTTGAAATCTCTGACAGTCGGGTGGGTTCTCAAGTACTAGGGTGCGGCATGCCCTGCACTGGCGGGGCGGTGGGGGGGACCCTAACAAGAACGCAGACACGGTTTCCTCCTGCGGCTCTCACAGTAACTGAGCAAAGCAAGAATGACCATTCTCACTGTACCAGCGAGGAAACCGAGGCCCAGAGAGATGGGGGCTTCAGCCAGTGCAGCTGATCAGGGGCAGAACTGAGATTTCTTATTTTTGAGACAGAGTCTCACTCTGTTGCCCAAGCTAGAGTGCTGTGGCATCAGCCTAGCTCACAGCAACCTCAAACTCCTGGGCTCAAGAGATCCTCCTGCCTCAGCCTCCCGAGTAGCTGGGACTACAGGCATGCGCCACCATGCCCGGCTAATTTTTTCTATATATATTTTTAGTTGGCCAATTAATTCGTTTCTATTTTTAGTAGAGACGGGGGTCTCGCTCTTGCTCAGGCTGGTCTTGAACTCCTGACATGGAGCAATCCGCCCGCCTCGGCCTCCCAGAGTGCTAGGATTACAGGCGTGAGCCACCACGCCCGGCCAGAACTGAGATTTCGATTCAACTCAAAATGCAAAATGCACTCCCTTCCTGCCACCCCCGGGGCTCCTGCCTGACTGCCACCCTGGCAAACACGCACACCCCGGTTCTAATTCCTCCTTCTTGCGGCTCACTCCAACAGTCGCTGCACAAATTTGGAGATGCCTCCACCAGAAGATTCTCTGCGAGAGAGCCCCTCTTGGGTCCATTTTGCGTTGCCAAATGCACCGCAGCCTCCCTGCGACTGTGAGTGGCCTCCTGCTGACCCTGCGCCCCAATCTCCTTGGGAGGGGGGAAGGTATTTAAGCAGCCGGCAGGTTCAGTTTGGGGCTCAACGATGCACGGAAGGCGTGAAACAGCAGAACACACGGGAAGGCACGGAACACACGGTGCGAGCAGGCAGCAAGCGATTCAACGCGACCCGCCCCTGGGGTGTTCCCAGCGGCTGTGCTATTCCAGGTCAAGTCAGTAGGAGCAGGGAACAGCCACGCCTGCAGGCCGCACTCTGACCTGACCCTCTGCCTGGACACCAAACTGCCGCAGGGCCGTCCTCAGCCCACAGGACAAAGGGAGCCTCTCTCTGCCTTAAAGAGCAAACCCTACCAGCGCGGGAGCCAGAGCAGAGGCGGTGGCCCCCACCTGCCGGGGCGGTGCACGCTCTGTAAATGCACGAGGCACTCACACAACAGAACGCGGGGGTGGGGAGCGCAGCCCGGCCACCTGCACGGTATTCTCTGAAAATACGCTGCACACTCAAAACTCTCTGTCCTCTTCCACAAAGAGACGACAAATGACACCTCTTCTTCTTTGCTCAAGATGATGACCATTAAAAGACTTAACAGAGAAATAGCTATGGGGAAGGTTCCCCATAAGCCCTGGAATCATGTCCTACGGGAAATGTACTTCAATCACACCTGCCGGGGCTGAGCCATCGAGGAAGAACCACCCACAGGTGGGCTTCAGAGCCGTGCACCCCGGTCCCCCCACGTCTACACCTGCCTGTGTCCATAAACACGCTCCCGTGGTGTCCTCTCCTAGCCATGCCCACGGGCTCCTCTGAAAACCACAGCTTCCTCCAGCACAGCAGGAGACACTGACGCCCGGCACGACCCAGCGTTAAGACAGAGAAGCGAGTCAGCGCCAGAGCGCAGGCCCTGCGCTGGACACACCGTGGACGGGCAAACCGCACCCTGAAACCAGCCCTGGACGTTCCGCATGTCCCGACGCCCCATCCCCACGGCTCCTGCCATCCTAGAGGAACAACGGGCTCCACGTGGGGTCCCGCTGTCCTTGTCAACACCGCAAAGGAGCGTCGTTCCACCAAGCCTCATTTAAAAAATCTAAAATTGAATCGTACATAAAACAAGAATAGCAAGCTTCACTCCAGGATAGCCCATGGCTGAACTGGACGGATTTGGGAGAGGTGCGGGCGGTGGGGGGGGGGGAGGGCAAGTATTCCCGAAACTCAGAGAGGACAGGGACGGAGCATGCTCACTGTTGGACCTCGCTGGGCACCCGCGGAGAATTCCAGTAAGGGAAGTGTTTGAAGGCCTCCAGTCCCGCAGCCACGTAGAAACTGTTGTCTTGCAAATCCTTTGAGTTGTCCAAAAGATGCCCGTTCATTGTGAATAATCTGCAAAGAAAGAAGAAACGGGGTAGAGATTGCAAGTCCAGCGATCTAGGGTGTTAGGGTATCTCTGTGCACAACACGGCTAGCACGTGGACCCCGGGAGAAACAGCGCACGTGATCCAAACAGCAGCCAGCGTGATCCAAACGGGCCGGCCGAACCCAATGGGAGCTGCTCTTCCAGGGTCAGACTGCCTTTCCATTTTTAGATTTTTTAATTAAAGTGTATTTTTAATTATGTACAAGTGCTCAGAGGCTCTTGAGACCACGTTAAGCTCTTGGTTGGTGTTCAACTAATTTTAACTAATAATAGCTTAAATTAAAACAAATTGGCTTACATTGTTATAACAATACTTGGAGAACAAACCAGCATTTATTAGCAAATAATATGCATTTTTATAAGCAACAAAAGACTAATATTAGTCTACTTTTTATTCAGTTCTCTTTTTCTTTGGCAAGGACTCCTTCAGTAGTTTATTTATTTAAGAAATGATTCGGTTAGTTCGGTGCTGAGCACCTACATGCACAAGACAACGAGGTAGGCATTGCACTGGATAAAAATGTGAATAAGCAAGTCTCTGCTGCCCCAAAGTCCGGAAGCCTGCAGAAACCTACAGAGATAAATGTGACAAGAGAAGAGCAAAGTGCTGGGTCCCAAGAGGATGGGGTCAATCCAACCGCAGGCTCTCCAAGGGGAAGAACTTGCAATGCACTTGGAGAGGGAGGCAGGATCTCACCATGGGAAGCTGGGAGGAAGCCACAGAGGCCCGGGGACAGGCCACCACTGAGGGTGACACATAGACAGAGTGCATTAACTTGCAGGGCAGGCAGTTTATAAAGAGCCTTGAATTCCAAGGGGAGGCACTTGTCACGAACATCAAGTGAGCGAAGATTTGCTTGGAGGAGTAGTGTTGTGTTTCCCTGAAAATAAGCCCTACCCATAAAATGAGCCCTAGCAGGATTTCTAAGCATGTGCGCAATAGAAGCCCTACCCCGAAAATAAGCCCTAGTGACGGGCGTGGCTACGCAGCGCATCTGCACAACCCGTGCATTTCGTCTCGGAGCAGGAAAGAAGACGAGCAGCCCTTCTCATCTGCCCCATGAGAGCTCTGTTGCTCGACATGAGAGATCGGGGGCCGATGGTTCTGAAGGAAATAGAGTCGCAAGAAATTCAGGATGGAATTCCGGGTTTGGAGGGTGATGATGATGTTCCAGAAGAAGACGACCCTATTTGAATAAATGTAGATTGCTGGACCGTACTTAAAAAAAATAATAATAAAATAAGACATCCCCTGAAGATAAGCCCTAGGGTGTCTTCCTGAGGAAAAATAAATATAAGACCCTGTCTTATTTTCGGGGAAACACGGCAAGAGCTGTGTTAGCTCCAGCACGCCGGCCGCAGTGGCAGGGACAGGACAGATGGGAACCTCCAGTGGGCACAGGCTTGGAGGAAGAGCAGGGATTTGGGGCGCGTGGAAAAGGAGGGAGCCGCAGAGCGTGTCCCGCCCCGGGACACATCGCCGCCTGCAGGACTGGCCTTGCCCCTCTGCAGAGGCCGTGCTCGGGGAGTCCGAGATGAGGCCCAAGCTCTTCTTCTCCAGCAAGCTCGCTGCCGTGAGGCGGCTGCTCCCACGTCCCGCTTCAGAGCCACTGCGTCAGGGCAGCCCGGGGACAATGCAGGAGAGCGCCAAGACAGGAGGCAGCGCGTCTGCCCGTCCCCCGCGAGACGACGCCACCCTGCGAGGTCCACGCCCGCCACCAGGCCACCGGCGTTCGGGTGGGGCCTGCCGGGCTCCCCGCCAGTGTGTGCGGAGTCAGCGGCTGGACTCAGAAAGGAAGGTTCACGCGTCGGGGAGCTTCAGACGACATGTCGCCGACACCGAGCCACGCACGGAGCCCGGCGGGACGAACAGGATGAGCTTGTGCCGGGCCACGGGTGACATCGACTCAGGCAAGCAGGAGCCACCAACTTCGGTGGCGAGGCTGCCGCCACGGCCTCCCCCGCGTCACTGCCCCCTGCTCCACCGCAGCGGCCGGGACCACGCCGGCTCAGACCCCACCTTGACCCTTCTCTCAAGCCACGGACCCACGGTCCATCTGCCTTCCCCTCTCTGGCCCGGCCCACCGAGCGCCCCAGAGCAGCACGGCGCCCAGTCCGGGGGCCGTCAGCCCCGCCGGGCCACCCTCCCATGCCTTGCCCAGCTCCCCATTCTCCTCCCCGCCACTCTCAAGAGACACCTTCTTTCCTACTTGACCGGCATCACCAGGCATTCATCGCTCACCTTCCTTCTCTCCTGGAAACCTTTCCGCCCCTGCACCGTCCTCTCCTCCACCCCTGCCTCGCAGAAAGGGGCTCCCCACCCCTGTCCCCCCATCCTCCAAGGCCAGCCCTCCCCCACCAGCAGGACCTGCTCTCTCCTCCCCATCCCCAGACTTTCCCTTTAAGGAGAGAAGGAAGGTGTGCAGGTGTCCCTCGAGTTCGATGACGACACGCGTTTGCCCTGAGCCCCTCGACCACCACAGTCTTCCACCTGCAGCACCTGCCCCGCCCGTCAGCCACACGCACCCCCACTCCTGTCTCTGCCTCTGCCCCTCACTCACTCCCGCCCGCACCCCGCCTCCACCTCCCAGTGCGCGTGGCTGAGCACGTTCTGGGTCCCATCTCGCTTCTCATCTCGCTTGCCGTGGTGGCATGTGTTGGCGTCCTTCCCTGGGAGCCCCCGCAGCCCTGGCTGCCACACTGCGCCCCTTCTGGGCCACCTGCCTCCGCTCTGGCGTCTGCACCCCATTTGCACTCTCCTTGGTGGCCTCCCTTGTCTCCTGCTCCAAACGCCACCTCCTGCCGAGAACCCGTCCCAAGCTGGCTCAGGGTGCAGGACTGGGGACAGGCACGGGCCCAGGTACGCCACAGCCACAGCACACGGGGCCAGAGAGAATGCAACCAACAGCAGCCGGGGCAAAGGCAAGACCGAGCACCAAAGGATCCGAACAAGGCACCAGCTTGAGGAGGCCACACGGAGAGACAGAAACCAGGCCCAGGCATGAGGACCACGAGGCAGAAGAGACTCCCCCCAGGGCAGCCACTCGGGGAACAGGCTCCTCCTGTCAGACACCTGACACCTCCCCTGTGGGCAGACCCAGGGACACAAAAAGAACTGACCAGAGGGTGATTGCTGTCTCTGTTTTAAATGATTTGATGTTTCTGGCTTCCTGTGAAAAATACGATCCTGCCACACTGGCCTCCCATTGCCACAAGGTGACAGGTGGCCCAGGGAAGACCTCGCAGGTGCCTGGGCTGTGCACCTGCTCCAGGCCAGCTCCCAGGAGGGCCTCGTCCCACGCACAGCCTCGCTGGCCACTGAGTTGAGGAATCCCAGTGTAAGCTCTGGCTTCCGCCCTGCTTGCAGCCCAGACCAGGGGTCCCTAGACACGCCAGGGTCCCCAGCACCCACACCTGCTGGTCTATGGCGTCCCCACCTTGGAAAAGAGCCCCCATCAGTCCAGTTGCTCCGGGGTCATTCGAGCCGTGAACACCACGGTCTTTCCATTTATTTGTGTCTTTTTCAATTTCTTTCATCAATGTTTTATAGTTTTCAGTGCAGAGATCTTTCGCTTCCTTGGTTACATTTATTCCTAAGAATTTTATTCTCTTTGATGCTATTATAAATGGGATTGCTCCTTTAACATATTTTTCAGACAGTTTGTTGTTATTGTGCAGAAACACAGCTTCCTTTCGTACGTTGATTTGCATCTTGCAACTTTACCGAATTCATTTATTAGTTTTAACAGCTTTTTGGTGGAATCCAGGGTTTTCTGTGTATAAAATCAGATCACGTATAAACAGAGACAGTTTTACTTTTCCCTTTATAATTTGGATGCCTTCTATCTCTTTTTCTTGTCCTATTACTCTGGCGAGGACTTGCCACACCACATTGAATGTAAGTGGTGACAGGAGGCCGTCTTACCTAGCTCTTAATCTTAGCGGAGAAACTTTCAACTTCCAGCCACTGAGTGTGAGGTGAGCCGTGGGCTCCTCACACTTGACTTCCGGCATGTTGAGTATGTTCCTTGTATAACTAATTTGTTGAAAGCTTTTATCATGAAAGGCTGTTGAGTTTTTGTCAAATGCTTTTTCTGCATCTATTGAGAGGATCATGTGGTCTTTATTCTTCATTCTGTTCGTGAAAGCGAGGTGCAAAGTTGGACTGTTTTATCTGAGATTCTCTCTCTCTCCTTGATGTAGGTATTTTCACCGTGAGCTTCACTCTCAGGA